TCTCACTCCTGGGAGATCCTGGCCAGTGACACCTTGAGCGACCCCTTCTTGCTCTCCAGACAGCATCCCACCTCTCAAGTGAGAATAGACCAGCAGCACGTGGACTCCTTCTGCCCAATGTCCTCCCTGTCCAGGAAGGAGTGGTGGCCTGGGAGGCTCTGGTGTGACCACGGGGCTATTGCTCACCCTGGGGCACCTGTCACAGGAACTGCCTGAGAGAGGCAACCCAGCCACCTCTGTGCCTCTGTCTGATGTTGTGGAGGCCACTTGGACTGACCGAGCTCCCTCCGGCTCCAACTGCACAGGAACCGAGAGCCTCCCGCTGTCACCCACCCACCCGCTCGACCTGGTGGGCTCTCTGCAGAGCCAGGCTGTGTGCCCGAGGGCCACACGTGAGCCTCCACACTGCACGCTGCCCAGGCTCACTCTTTCCTAAGCCACAGTCGCAGCCAGCTGTCCCACGGTGTGACAGACACAACTGGCTGGCCAGCCTCAACGGTGGCCTGTGAGTTCCGCACAGCTTTCCACTTCAACCAAGCCTGCACCTTGACACCCCCGGCCTCAGTGTGGTGGAGGAGGAGAACGGGCAGTCGCAAGACCCTGGACTTGCCCTGGGTCAGCATTTAGAGGGGCACCGAGCTAGCCTGGCAGGGGCTGGCCATCTACTCTTGGGGCCATGGTGTGTCCCAGTCTGACTATCCCCATGTGGGAGGCCTCTTGTCCCCCGCTGCCTCTGCAGGGACCTGAAAACCTCCTGAGCCCTGTTTGGAGCTTCACCCTCACGTAGGAGGTTGCTGAGCCTCGAGGCAGACAGCGGGTGGGACTGTCTCTCCATCTATACGCAAGAGCAAAAGGCCCCGCTGCAAAACAAGTTCCTCGTCTGCAGAGGATGGCCGATGGCAGTGGACCGCCCACCCCGTGTCTGTGGCTGTGTCAGGTCTCCCACCTGCCTGTGTGCCTCTCCTGTGGGCAGACATGCTGAGGAACCTCACGAACCCACCCGTGAAGGAGGCCCCCACAAGCTCAGACCCACACCCCGCTCCAGCTGACCCTGAACTCCTCTTTACCATTTAACCCTTTCACTCCACCTCTCTCCCGCCCCCAAAAGTCCACACGAAGGAGAGGACAGAGGCATCGCTCAGAGCGGCCCATGCCAGCTCCCCACCCTGAGGCCGCGCCTGCCCCGTGCCAGCACCCTGGGACAACCCTGGTGTGTCGGAGGTCAGAGATGCTCTTGGCACTTGAGTGAGTAGTTGTTAGTCTCCCTTTTAGAAAGGAGACCGTGAGGCTGGAGTCTACCCAGGACCTGTCCAGGGCCCAGCTAGCCAGAGGACAGGCTGGGGCTTCCTGCGGGCTGGGTGCCGTCCACACGGTAAAGGCCGTGTGTGACAAGCCGCAGGGGTGAAAGCCACAGTTCCTCCCTCAGCAGGGAGGCCCACTCCCCCACTGACCGCCCACCCCACTCTGCGCTGCAGGCTTCACAATTAGGCAAGAGACATGAAATCCAGCCGCCTGGGGAGGAAGGACGGCATTGTCTGCTCTCCACCAAGACGGCCGCACTGCCGAGAACCCAGACTCCTCCAGAAAAACCAGGCCAGAGTTAAAGGATGCAGAAACGCAGAATGCACGATTGTGATGTCGCACTACAAAAATCAGTTGTTTCCATTCGCTAACAGTGAGCCAGCTAGAAAGTCATCAGGAGAGCAGTTCATTTGTAGTAGCTACCAAACCAGGTAAAACGAAGTCCCCGGGGGTCAGTGTGGCCAGGGAGAGAAAGGTCTGCACAGCTGCAAACACAGAGGAACCGAGAACAGTGGGAAGGGGTCCGCGGTCGGGATGGCAGGAATCCCTGCTGCTAAACGCCCAGGCAACCTTCAGGTCAGGGCGAATCCTCCCAAACTCCCACTGACGTTTTTCACAGAAATGAGGAAACGACCCTGGGGGCCCCCGAACCGCCCACGTAGCCTGGAGGAGCAGCAGAGCTGAGGCCCCACGGCCCTCAGCGCAGACCACACCACAGAGCGGCCGAGTGGGTGGCACAGCGTGGCGCTGGCACAGAACCAGGCCCACACGGGAGAGACGGAGAGCTCGGGGACCCAGCCCCACGCGTGTGGTCGGCGGACAGAGAGGCGGGCAGCAAGGCACGACGGCCAGGTCCCTGCGGTCAGTGGTGCTGGGAAGACAGATGTCCATGTGCGGAAGAACAGGGTCCCACCGTCTGTCTCGCCACATGGGAAAGAACTTGCAGCGGGTCACAGAGCTGAGCGCGAGGCCCGGAGCCAGGCGGGTGCCAGAGGAGACTCAGGCGCATGTCCCCAGCACGGGTCCTGGTTTCTGGGCTGTGTCACCAAAAACATAAGAGACAAAAGCAAAAATAAGTAAGAACACCTAAAATTCAAAAGTTTCTGCACAGCACGGGAAGGACTGCAGCGGAAGGCGTGTGCAGCCTGGGAGGAGACGCAGGCAGGCTGTGGATCTGCCGAGGTGACCTCCAAACAGGCAAGGACCTCGTACCACTCCTCAGCCAAGAGCCAGCGTGGCGAGGACTCCCGAGGCCACGCTCCGTGAGGACACCAGATGGCCAGCAGGTAGGAGGAAAGGCGGCCGGCATCATACATCGGGCAAACGCAAACCAAAAGCACAGCAAGACGTGACTCACAGTGAGGGCGTGGAACAGGTGGCCGCCCCTGGGAGTGTGCAGAGGGGAGTGCCACCACGGTGCTGCTACAAAGGTATATTGTACCGCCTTCAGGGAAAGCCACACGGGGATTCCTTAGGAGCTTAGAACAGTCTAGGACCAGGTGGGCTCACTGTCGAGTAGCTATCCACTTGTGGCAGGGACGTTTGCCCCTGTGCTCACCACAGCCAAGACGTGGGGTGATGGTGAGAAAAGGTGGAACACTACTCAGCCCTAAAAAAGAAGGAGATGCTGCCACTTGGGGTAATGTGGGTAAATCTGAAGGAGATGACACTAAGTGACAGAAGCCGACATGGCCAGGAGACTGCGTGACCGCACTTGAAAAGTCGTCTCAGAAACATGCAGGATGGCAGCTACCGGGGGCTGGGGCTGCATAACGGGTCTGTTGGTGAGGAGTTGAGCTCTCGGGGTTGCGAGGTGCATGCATCTGGGATTGTGCACCTTGGCTAAGAGAGCCGGTCCCGATGGCCTGATCACAGAAAGGGGATGACTGCCTGCCGTGGCGGGTGATTGGCTTGACGGTGGTGACCAATTCACAGACACAAATGTCAAAATATACCCTGAATACAGGGTATATTGTTGTTGTTATTATTATTATATGTTTATATTATTATTATTATATTATTATATGTTGTTGGTCCCCGCTAACAGTCAGTGGAGCCTGGCACAGGGGCGGGAAATGCTAGGGGAGACATCCGGGTGCATGAGAGACCTCCGTGATCTCTGCTATGATCGTCTCAGTCTTCTTTCCACCTGGACTTTCTTGGTGCTGGACCACTGAGCTGGGGCACAAGTTCCAGGAAATAAGTCAACCTGTCTTCAGCAGGGAAAGGAATACTCATTCTGTTCAAGGAACAATACAAGTCTAGGAGTAACAGCTGCAGGCACAGTGGGATCCAGGGGCTCCCAGGTGTCACGAGTGGTTTTCTCTCCCCAGTGCCGGCTTCATTCCTAGGCACTTCTCCCCAGCAGCTGCAAGATGGAGTCTGCAGCCACAAGTGCTGTTTCCAGTTCAATGAGCCCAGGGCAAAGCCTGTGTCCTGCATCAGACTAATGTGATCGGAGCTGAGATGACAGCGCAGTGGTCACTTGTCTGATGAGGGCCAGTCCAGGGCTTCGGAAACGTGCTGGTGGCCATTTCCCTATGGGGAGTGGGCAGCTCCCCAGGAAAGGAGACAGAAAGAGCAAGGGCCCTGTGGCCCAGTGCCCACCGCCATGTTAGTGTCCTGTTGCCTGGGGACCAGGAGTAGGGACCGGACGCGTGCAGGAGGGAGCCTTCCTCCCAGCCACGCCCTCCTGTTCCTCTTCAACCAGCCCCAGAAGGGAGGCTGGAGGGGCAGCTCCCTGGCGGAGAGCAGGGCTGTCCACACACCAGGTCAGAAGGTCACTCCCCCACACCCCGGCAGCTTGTCCCCTGTTAGGCAGAGTTTGAGCCAATGGGCCCAGGGTGGGCTCAGGCCTCCTCTCCCTGAAGGCGCCAAGCCCTCCTGAGTGGGGTCTGGAGCTGCCGTGCGGGGACAGGGCCTTCAGGGTTGCTTTGGCCAATGCACAAGAGGCTCAGAGAGTGAACCTGTCCATGTTCTAGAAACTTCCAGCATTTCTGGGCAGCTGTTCTGGGTCTCCATGTTCCCTCCCCTCCTTCACAGGTCGTGGCCATTACTGTCCTCCACAAAGGGCACCAGGCCCGGCACTGAGGCCACTGCTGGCCAGCACCTACCTCTCACTCCCACTGGGGCACGCCCACTGGTGTGCTCTATTCCCGTGAGGAGTGGTGCCTCCAATTCAGGAGGTGGCATGGCCACTCTCCTCTCTGGACAGGCCTGGCCATTAGTTAAACAGATGCCCATGAAGGCAGTCTCAGCCTGCATCAAATCCAGGTCCTGCCACCTCTGAGCCGGTGGCCTAGGCTGGTCCTTGGTCTCTGGGACTCCGTGTCCCCAGGGGAGGTTGGAGGTTGGAGGTGTGGATGGGGCCAGGTGCTGGGAAGAAGGGCTGATGCTTCCAGCCTGAGAGGCCGCGGGTGGGGTGACGGTCCACCTAGGGTGACGTGAGCGGTCAGCACACAGGGTGGGACCTGTCTCCGTGGAGCAGCCACATAGGTGGGGCTGCAGCTGTGGATGTGACCTGCCCAGACCTGGGAGCCAGGTGGGGCGGGCTGGGGACACTGATGGGGAGTCGGCTCGGGGCTGGGGGTCGGGGCACTGGAGGGCCAGGCCGCCTGGCCCTGTGTGGGTGGAGCGCCTCCCGCTGCAGGCCCGGCTGGCCTCCTGCCCAGGCTGACGCCCACCCTTGCTCCCTGCAGATCAACACCTTCATGTCCTTCGTGTTCCCCATGGTGGTCATCTCGGTCCTGAACACCGTCATCGCCAACAAGCTGACCATCATGGTGCGCCAGGCCGCCGAGCAGGGCCGGGTGAGCACGGTGGGCGCCCAGCACAGCACCTTCAGCCTGTCCGTCGAGCCCGGCAGGATCCAGGCCCTGCGGCACGGCGTCCGGGTCCTACGTAGGTGACCGTGGGCCCTGGGGTGGGGCCAGTGTCGTGGGACCCAGAGTGGAGCAGGGCTTGGGGACATGGGACAGAAGCCAGGGCGGACGCCCGGCCGGGTGCTCTCCCTGCCTTCTCTCCTCGCCCCCCCCAGCCCGTGGGGCGGGGCCTCTTGCTCACAGTCAAGAGGGCAGCAGAGGTGGAGGCCAGCCCTGCGCGCTGGGGACAGGGGCTCTGGGGATGCAAGCTGGGCCCCAGCACTTTCAGACAGCGATGAGCCGGAAGAAGGAATCAAAGCCAGTGACGAGGCCCCGGGGCGGGAGCTCGGGGAGTCCCCCCAGCTCAGCTGAGGACAGCTGTGCCGAGGCCCTGGGTCGGGGGTTCTGGGCGGAGGGCGGGCTGCATCCTGCTCCTGCACCTCGGGGTGACTGCAGGTGTGAAGCGAAGGAGTCAGGGAGGACCCTCATTCCAGGTGCCTGGACCGCATTTCCGTTTGCCAAAACCAAACCTCAGCTCCTTCCTGGTCCCGGCCCCTCAGATTTGTTCCGGGGTGTGGCCAGGTCTCCGGGGACTTGCCCTGTTGAGTCCCAAGTGCAGCCACTGCCTTGCTGGCAGGGAACCTGAAGGCCAGCCCTGCAGCCCCGCAGCCCAGAGCCTCCCGCCCAGGAGCTGGGGCAGGGCTCACGTGGGGGCCCAGGCTATGCCCAGAAGCAGCACCTGTGGAGAGGACTTTTCCAAACGCTACGTCCCCTGGAAGGCACTGCCCCCACCTCAGTCTCCCGGTCACTGAAGCAGAGTGACGGGGACCTGGTCCTGAGAAGGGGTCTGAGGGCTGCCATCAGAGGAGCCCTGGCCAGCCAGGGGCACCCCGGCCCAGGCAGAGCCACCTGGGGATGTCACTGGTGGCGATCCCGTCAGTGCCCTGCAGGTAGCCCGCGGTGGGCTCTGCGGTCAACACGAGGGTCTCCATCTCGTCCTTCTTTTGCAAGGCTGTTCTTGCTCCTCAAGGTCCTTTGAGATTCCTCATGAATGTCAGGACTGGACTTGATGGGATCGCGGTGAGCCGACAGCTCGCTCTGGTAGCCCGGGCAGCTTAGGAACATGTCCCCCTCTGGGCGCTTGGGACATCTTCCTGCATCTCTTTGAGGCCCCGCTCTGTCCCTCAGGCGCTGTGGTCATCGCCTTTGTGGTCTGCTGGCTGCCTTACCACGTGCGGCGCCTCATGTTCTGCTACATCTCTGATGAGCAGTGGACCCCGTGAGTGCTTGGGCCCCGAGTGGGCACCCCCAGGGCAGGTGGAGTGGGCAGCACAGGGCAGGGCTGGGCTGGGCAGGAGAGGCTGTGGAGGGCGGTCAGGCAGAGGGGCAGCAGACCCTAAGAATCCTGCCACATTTACATTAGGTTTGAAGGGGCAGCTGTTGGGCCACCACAACCTGGGCTGGACCCAGGGACTCAATGGAGTCACACTCGGGGCTGTGACTTGTCACAGCTAATAACTATGGACACAGGAGCAGGAATCAGGGGGAGGCAGACACACTTAGCTCCCCAGAAGCCAGTCACCTGGGAAACCTGCAGGCATCCCGACACCTGGGTTCTCCAGGGGACTGGTCACAGAGGCACCACGAGGTGCCCGCTATCTGGCAGGCAGCAGCGTTCTGCGCTCCAGAAGGAGGAGAAGGTGCGTGGCATACTCCCTACGTGTACAGAGAGTTAAGGTGCAGAGAGCCTCCCACCTGGCGGTGGTGAGGTCCTGAGCCACACACCCACCAGCAGGCCTTTCTCAGGCCACCGCCATGGCTGCAGTGTACACTGTCCCATGCACGTCAGGGCTGCCAGGTCCGCTGGTGACAGGTCCTTCAGCCTAATGGGCAGCCCTGGGTCAGCATGCCTGGGGTGGGACAGAGCAGGGAGGAGAGGGCAGGCCCGGGAAAGGCTGCTGAAACTCCCACCCGGCGGGGAGCGAGACGCCCTGGGGGCAGGCGAGCTGAGGTGAGCCGTCCTGGCCAGGCTGCAAGTTAGGCTGGGGGTCAGCCAGGCCTTGGGTGCTGGGCTACAGGACAGTCCAGGTGGGCTGCAGGAGAGGTGAGGACCAGGATAAACGGAGCCCCTCCTGAAGAGGCCAGGTCCAGGCAGGAGTGCAGGAGCCAGACCCAGGTCTATTACCAGGCGTCCAGGCAGAACAGTGCACCTGCGCTGGCCACGCCTTGCCTGCGGGCGGCAGGATCTGAGCACTTCTCGCCCCCAGGTTCCTCTACGACTTCTACCACTACTTCTTCATGCTGACCAACGCACTCTTCTATGTCAGCTCCACCGTCAACCCCATCCTCTACAACCTGGTCTCCGCCAACTTCCGTGAGATCTTCCTGTCCACCCTGGCCTGCCTCTGTCCCACATGGCGGCGCGGGAGGAAGAGGCCAACCTTCTCCAGGAAGCCCAACAGTGTGTCCAGCAACCACGCCTACTCCAGCAGCGCCACCCGGGAGACGCTGTACTAGGGTCCAGCGGGAGCTTCGAGGCCTAAGGAGGCTGGGAGCAGGCGGCAGCCCCACCCAGGGCCTCCAGGGCCCGGCCAGCGGCCAGCTCGCCTGGGCCCGGGCCCAGCACCCTCACCACAGAGGCTTCTTTCCCCGACCCCATCCCCGCTTCTTCATCCCCTGCCTTTATAAGCCAGATGGAGAGTTTGTTCACCTCCCAGATCCAAAATCAGCCTTTCACAGGACAGCCAGTGCTCAGTGGGGGGGGGCAGCTTCTTTGTCTCCAGGTTAATGGATGGCCAGAAAGGACATGAAAGGAGCCCCCGGGCCCGGCCTGGGCAGCTGGGCTGTGTCTCCCCAGGGCGCTTCAGTGCACGCACTAGGTCTCAGCACAGGACCCCAGCCACCGCCCACCCCAGGGGTGAACTGCCAGGAGAGGTCATCCAGCCCGGCATGGGCTCCATCCTGGCCTCCCTCTGCCTCTGGTTCAGGGTGAGTCCAGTTCAAGGTCCAGTAAGTGCCACATCCTGGGCCTCACACCCAGACCCTTCCGTGGGGTCAGACCAGCCCCTGATACTCTTCTTCAGGCCCGGGGACCATGCTGGGTGTGAGGGGACCCCTCCTACTTGCCCTCACCCTGGTGACCACAGAAGAAGCTCAGGCTCCAACTGATACGTCCATAAAGAGCCAGCCTGGACTCTCCAGCCCAGGGCCTCCCCTCCTGCTGGCCTGACGTTTCCCTCGGGGCCCTGCAGGGACATCCTTCAGGAGGGGCCGAGACCCCACAGGTGCAGAGGGAATTGCAGACCGAGCAGGCTGAGGACCGGCAGGCAGCAGCCTGGGATGGCTTTGGGGGCAGGGGGTGGCCTAAGCAGTGGGAGGGCATAGGCCAGGGCTGCTGGGACCATGTCCTGTGTAAGGTGCCAGGTGCCCAGGGCTGGCCGCAGGTCAGGAGCCCGCTCCAGGCACCCTGCTGGCCAGCAGCCCGAGGCTGAGACACGGTTCATTTGTCACCAGCCGCCAGGCAGCAGCCCTGGCCCCAGGCTCCGGCGCCTGGAAGAGCCTGCCAGCGGGCGCCTCCCTGGTCCCTAGGAGCTGTCTCCAAACAGGACAGAACCTGCCCAGGCCCCCTGCCGAGAAGGTTCCTGAGCCCTGAGACAGATCCCAGGATGAGCTGCCTGGACCAGCAGGTGCAAAGTGCCAGGAAGCAAGACGGAGCCCGTTTAAAAGTAGCTTCTGCCGTCTTGGGTCCCCTTGCCCAGGAGGGGAACAGGTGGATGGGCAGACAGGCTGCAAAGCAGCACTGTCTTGGGACACAGGGATCCCGCTGTGGCCACCCGGCTCAGGCCACTCTGCTATCAACTGGAGTGCTCTTTGGACCCCACGGAATCCCGCTGTAAGCCCCATGACCTTTCAGGTCACCAAGGGCAGGCCCAGGCAAGTCAGGCCCATCTGCTCCTTCACCCCAGTGCCCACCACAAGGTCTGCCCTGCCCGCTCTGGGGTTCTGAGGTCAGGGCAGCACCACCCTAGGCAGTGGTGGGTGAGGCTGGGCGCTGGCACCAGACATCTGAGCACACTCACACAGTCCACCCAGAGACCCCTCCCGGACTGCAGATGTTGGCATGACTCCTCTGAGCCTCAGACTCCTGTCCAGGAGCAGGCCTGACCATCCCACCTCAGACTGCTGGGACTGTCCTGGAGATAGGAGGGACACACCCTGAGATAAGGCCCAGTCCACCAGAGCACTGGAGGCAGGTCTGCGTGGAGGGTCTGGGCTGCGACCAGTGTCTGGCTAGGTCATCATCTCAGTCCTGACTGCTGAACGTGGGTGGGCACGTGTCCATGCAGTGCCACACGCGCCCGTGACACTGATGGGATCCCAGCCCTGAGTGTTGTGGGCATGTCTCCCACAGAGACCAGAGTCCCATGAGCCCAGTGTTGATGGCAAAACCCACTGTGTAACTCCAGTGTCCCTCGGAATGTCCCCACCCCACCACTCTGCAGTTGAAGAAGCCCCCATATCTCAATAAAGGACCCTGTGGACCCCAAGTTGGACTTTTCTGTTGAGGGCCTCCGCCCACATCCCCTCTCTCACCCACTCGTTCCCATGGCGATGGCTCTGGCAGAGTCCTGCTTGGCATTCTTTTTTTTTTTTTTTTTAAACCAAGTGGTAATTTTTTTTAAATATCATTTTTATTGTTGTTGTTTATTTTTTATTTGGTGATGGGGATTGAACTCAGGACCTCATGCATGCAAGGCAGGCACTTTACCACTGAGCTATCTCCCCAGCCCCTGCTTGGCATTCTTACCAAGATGCATGGGCTGAGGACTCGGCTGGGGACCTGCCAGGGTGAGCACAGAGCCCCCCGCCCCCTCCCCAGCCGCCGAGCAGCCTCCCACTGTTCTCTGCAGAAATTCCCCGCGCACAGTCAAAGTCCCTTCTAGAACTCTGGTTACGTGTTTTAAAATAGAATTACTGGGTCTGGGGGTGTAGGTGAGGGACAGAGCCTTTGCCCAGCAGGCTCTGGGCTTGATCCCCAACACCACAAAAAAAATGTGTGAAATATAACAAACCCCTGGGTTTTAGCAAGTAGGATTCTCCTTAAAATAAGACGTCTGGCACAGACAGGAGCAAGGGCAAGGTCTGGCCGCAATGAGGGGCTGCCGGACCCCACGAGCCGTGCAGCTCAGCCCAACGGCTGTGCTCAGACCAGAGTGACAGCAGAAGACCCCTGACAGGAGGCCCACAGAAACCCGCCAGCTCCCCTGCCTCCAGGACCTGGCGCTGACCGCCTGCCTGGCCTCCCTGCCGGTCCACTGTCTGCTTTCCCTCACCAGGTTCTCTGCCCAGCGCAGGAGCCCCCACGACTTTTGACCTGCCAGGTCTCTGCTCCATCCCAGTCTCCAGGGAGCAAGGAAGGAGTGGCTTCTCCTGAGCGTGGGCCGTGCACCAGGGACAGAGGGGCATGGGTCCTGTCCACCTGCATGAGTCCCCAGTGGTACAGGTAGCCACACTCAAACATGCTCATTCACACTCGTACACGCTCACACACAGGCACACGCTCATACACATGCTCATACATGTTCACACACACACTCACACATACTCACACACACTCACGGCCCCCAGGCCAACAGACAGAGGCAGGGCCTTGTCCACAACCAAGTGCTGCCTTCTGTGGGGCAACAAGGAAGTCGTCCAGACTGCAGGCCTCCGGGACTCCTCCACCCAGTGTCCCTGGTGGTCAGGGGACCGGTCAGCACCAGAACCACAGGAGCCTGCTGAAGGTCAGCCTCCCAGTCCAGCCCGGCCTATGCAGTCAGCAGCCCTAGGGCCCTGGGACTCGGCCCAATGGGGAGTACCACCCTCAGCTCCCCAGCGCCCCCCACATTCATCCAACACCCACTCCCCAGACAGGTGCTCCTGGGGCAGGTGTCCTCAAAGGGGGCCCGGCCCTTTCCTGAGAGGCAGAGCCGCAGCTGTGAGGCTCCAGAGCTCTGTGAAAAGGCCCTCAGTCCCACTCCCTCAGAGGCCTGGGGAGCTGGCCTCCACACTGACCTCAGAGGCACGTTGACCAGAGTGTCAGAGGAAGGAGACTCACGGCAAAATTCCAGCCAGTCATGAGAGGGAGGTTGAGGGACAAAGGGCAGGCAGCCCTGACCCCGACCACCCTCCAGGCCAGCCCACCAGGGTGAGAGCCCTGGCCGAGCCCTCCCACCCTGCAGGTCTTCTGAACTCAGCCCTGTTCCAGGACCTGGACAGAGGAGTGGGCAGGCTCACACCATTGCTAGGCAACGGGTGGGCTTGGGACAGAATCCTATACATACGTCTTGAACGCACTGGAAGGAAAAATAACACAGCCCCTCCCCTCCCTCACGGCTCCCTGCAATTATGATCTGAACCCAGTTCTTACCAGAACACCATGGAAACCACGTCCAGGCTGGATTGATGAAAGGAACACCACCCATCAGAGAGAGTCCGCCAAGGCGGGGCAGGAGGAGAGGCAGGGGCCAGCGGGGTGGACAGCAGACAGCACCAGGTGGGCAGGAGGCAGTCCAGCACCTGCCCTCCCAGGGCCTCCCAGCACACACAGGCACAGCATGCAGAGGATGATTGTGCACTCTCGAACACACACCCGTGTGACACTAGTGCACAATCTCATGTGGACACACACAGAAACGTGGGATGCAGGTGAGCGTCACATGCTCGCATGCACACGCCAGGGCACACACACCAAGAGCACGTGACCTGCACGCACGCGCCGGCCCTCTCACCCACAGGGCCTTGCTGCCTGGGCTGCCTGGCCCGGCTAGTGAGGTGGCTGGCAGAACCACGGGAGCCCAGGACAGCCTGGCCAGGCCCAGAAGCCCTTAGCTACTCGGGCCTGGGGCAGGACCTCGCTCAGCCACCCTGCCCTCCCCCACAGCTGCTGAGCACCAGTCAGCAGTTGGAGCCGGCTCCTGACGAGGAAGGCAAGAAGCCCGCAGCTCTAACACACAGGAACCCAGGGGAACTCATGCCCCTCTGCAGAAAAGAGTGGAATAGATCCCCGGCCAGCCACCTCTCCCTGAGGGTGATCACTCATGGGGCACCAGCCTTGCCCTTCACGGCCTCCTCCCTTCCCTGCCCCTACCACCCTATTCCTGGGGTCATCTCAGGCAGCTGACATTCAACCATGTTTCAGTCTCTCTGCCAGAGAGAAAGAGACCAGGGCCTCCCAACGAGCCACAGGTGGTGGCCACATGGGGACAGGAGCCCAGACACCAGATCTCAGCCTAGACTCAGGCATGGGTGGAGAGAGAGGGTGGATGGGAGAGAGCAGGGGAGGACACGCAGAGAGTGGGGAGAGGAGGAGA